TTGGGGTCGGGAACGGCCCAGCGCCGCTGGAGATAGACGCCGTGACTGGTAAGCCTAAGGGTGGTAAGCCTGGTAAGGGTGGTAAAGGCCAGCATTGGTATGATGCTCCAAAGTGCGGCAAAGGCAAAGGGAAGGGCTATGACAAGGGCTCTCCCAAGGGAGGCAAGGATAAAGGCAAGGGCTATGACAAGCCTTCAGGAAAGGATGCCGGGGGCAAGGGCAGTGGCAAGGACCGTCAGAAGGGAGTTTGTGATTATTGCCGTAAGCCGGGGCACTTCAAGAGAGATTGTTGGCAAGCCAAGCGTGATGGCGTAGTGCGTGCAGTGACTGAGAGTGCGAACCAGAATGAGCCCAATCGTGATTTGCCTGCACCCGCGCCTAGCTCTGTAGCAGCCTCGTCTTCTTCGGCTTCGACCTCGGCAATTAGGAGGGTGTCTCTTGCCTACTTTGACCTCACCGAGCAAGACAGTTTTCATGATGGTAGTGTTCGTATGGTAGAGGAGTACAGCATGACGTACAGTGACAACGACGAGCATTGGACAGAGAACCTTGAGATCATTTTGGATTCTGGGGCTGATCATAGTGCTCTGCCCCTCCGCTTCGCCACCGTGGGCGAGGCATCGAGGACTCAGGCCACTCATTTGTTGATGCCCAGGGGAACAACCTCCCTGTGACACAGGTCAGCGTTGCTGAAGTGGTTTTGGGCGACTTTTGTTTCAAGGAGCGTTTCATCATTGCACCAGTGAGTCATCCTTTGCTTTGCTTAGGGAGGCTGTGCAAGGCAGACTTTGAAGTGCGTAAGAGGAATAATCAGCTCGAGCTTGGGTGTGACGCGCACTCAGTGGCAGTGGACTTCAAGAGGAACTCCTTGGCGGTGCAGGGGTCTATAAGGATGCTAGAGCATGTTTCAGGCGCTTCGCCGAGTAATCCAGTGTGTGACCAACGTGTGCATGTTCGGGCCGTGGTCTTGAAGCCTGTACTTGAGCGTGTACCACAGGATGGGTCCTTGGTACAGATCGGAACCAATGTGTACGCAAGGTGTGGCTACAGCACGACTTTCATCAACACGACCCTGCCCCCTCTCCGGGACTTGCCTGGGAGGAGAACGACGTTGGTTAAAAGACCCGGAAAGGAGTGGGATTTGATCGAATTTTGCGAGGACATCAGCCACATGGAGAATTTCGAGGGCGATTTGCCAAATCCCCAGGACATCGAGCTGGTCTTGACTATTGCTCATGATCATGTCGTTGCTCCTGAAGAGCTTGGCTTTGATTATCGGAGTGATTCGCTACCGCTGGCCCCGAGGTCTGATGATGCTGTTCGTGATGCAGCTGGAGGTGCTCTTGATGCCGAAGATAGCCCGGACCTTGGAGGTGCAAGGGATGTACCTGCTGCTCCCGGTGAAGCAGAGCCACCCGTTGATGAACGTCATGTGCCTTTGGATGACAATGAGGTTGAGGTGGACGGTATTCGGTTGAGTATGTCCTCAACCCTGAAGGCATTGCGGGCGGCTTGTGGAGCATTAGGCATAACTACGGGGTAGCAAGAAACAGTGTTTTGAGCGGCTTCGTCGGCACATTCAGGAGCACGCTCTGATTGCAGAGCACGAGGCTGTTGCGGCGGCCGTTGGTGACTCAGAGCGGAAGCCGAAAGGAGTGGCGAAACCGGATGAGCCAACACCGCAGGAGATCGCCGAGCATATGATCACGCATCAGCCCTACAGGGCGTGGTGCTCTCAGTGCGTGGCTCATCGAGGTCGTCAGGACCAGCATCATGATCTAGATCATGCGCACACTTCCGAGTCGGTGGTGAGGGACTTCGGGTTTTGCAAACGGCAGGAGTCGGAAGACAATCTCCTCACCGTGCTAGTGATCCGCGATAGGCAGACCAAGGCTTTGCACGCAATTCCCACTGTGAGTAAAGGGGGTCAGTCGCTGTCGTATTTGACTACTGAATGTGTACGTTTTGTTACGTGGCTGGGGCATCGTGAAGTTTGCTTCAAGTCGGATGGTGAGCCGGCGATCAAGGCTGTGGTTAAGAAAACCAGGAGTGTGACGACGCCCGTGGAGGACCACGAGGCCAACGGTGCAGTGGAGCAAGCGTGGCAAAGCATCCGAGCCAATGCAGGTGTGCTGGTTGGACAAGTCGAAGAGCAGTGCGGTGCCGAAGGCAAGGTGATCTTTGGGAGCCAGCACCCTTTTTACATGTGGAGTCTTATTCATGATGCTTTTCTTCATAATCGGTTTTCGGTGCAGCATTCCTTGACTCCTTTTGAGAGGGCAACTGCGAGCCAATATGTTGGTAGACTTTGTTGTTACGGCGAGGTGGTTCTTGGCTACCTTCGAACGAGTGCCAAGGCAGGTGCTCGGTGGTGCAAGGGCGTGTGGCTTGGGAAAACGACCCAAAATGACACCCACATTGTGGCAACTCCTCAGGGGCTGTTCCTCACGAGATCGGTGAGGAGACTGGTGGAGAAGGACAGGTTCAATCTAGATCGGTGTGGTGAAGTTGCTTTGGCCCCTTGGGAGCATGGGTTTGCAAGCCTGGGTGGCAGGCTGATTGTGAACAAGAGGGTTGTTCTTCCACAGGCCGTGACCCCAGCATTGAATCCAACGAGTCCGCGGGATGAAGCTGGCAGTGACCCGCCTACTTCGGAGCCCGATGGCGTGAATGACCATTTGAGTGACTATGAGCCCAGCTTGCCAGGTGATCCCGTGGAGGCGGGACGCAGGATGCCCCGTTGATGACGTTGCCGGGCATGAGTAGCGAGCTGGTGACCGAGGCAGCGATGCAGGCCCATTCAGGCGAAGCAGCAGCCGCGGAGGTGGCAACGGGTTTGTCCGAAAATCCACGCGCAGTGAAGGCGCCCAGGATGATGCAGAGAGTTGAGTTTGCAGCCATTTGTCAGATCGGTGATCAGTGGTATGAGCATGAGGATGGAGAGGTTGATTGGGCCTTCACGCACAAGGACCTGGATGATCTTCAGGATTACGATGAGGGTTTTAATGATGACGGCCACGAGGAGCTCGATTTGAGCGCGATCGAGTCCAAGCTCATCTTTCCCAGGACTTCGGAGCACGAGCCGTGGTTGAGCCCCAGCGAGTTGAGTGAGCTTGACAGGTTGGCCGATGAGTTCGAGTTGGCACGGCTTGGCAACATGAAGGTGCTGTTACCAATGGGGTCCGAGGAAGGGCCCACCAAGGGTAGGGACAACCCAAAGAAGTTGTCGACAAAGATGGTTAGGTCGTGGCGCGAGAAGACCATTGTGGATCCCGAGACCAAGGAGCAGAGACCGGTATGGCTTCGCAGATCCCGGTACGTAGCTCGGGAGTTCGCCTGCTTAAGTCCAGAGAAAGAGGGCTTGTATAGCCCAGCATCCAGCTCTGTGGCGACGAAGGTTTTACCAGCGATTTCACATACCTGCAGGCTAGGGATGGCGATTGGGTGCTAGGGTCCATGGATGTGTCCGACGCCTTTCTTATGGTGTTGCAGGAAGAGGCCACGGAAGTTTCATACGAGGTCCGGGCACAAAGGAGGTCAGAAAGTTTATGCTGGGTCGCCTCCTCCCAGGACAGCGGGACGGGACGGCGAAGTGGCACGCCAAGTTGCCTGAGTGCCTTCGTGATGAAGTGAGTGCTTCACGCTGCGTTGCTTATCCGAGCATGTTCTCTTGCAACACACAACATGGACCAGTGTTCTTGCAAACGCATGTGGATGACATTGAGTATTTAGGGAAGCATGCAGCGGTGAGCAGAGTTTTTGTGCCGGCCATGCAGAGGCACTTCAAGGTGGCATATCAAACTCTCGAGAAACCGGGTGATGTCATGATGTTTTTGAAGCGCCAACATGTACTAGGCGAAGACGGTTGCAGTGTTGTCATCACACCACATCCCAAACATGTTGAGAGACTTCTTGAGATCCTCGAGATTGACCCGCACATGTGCAACAAGAAGTGTCCTTTGATGCTGGGGTACACAGAAGTAGATGAGAGCACAGCTTTGCCAGGGCCGCAAGCAAGTGTATATCGTTCGTGCATCGGTATCCTGTTGTACCTCAGTGGCGACATGGTGGAGTCTCAAAGGCTCAAGAGAGGGAGCTTCCACGAAGCTGAGCTGGAAACCAGGGACCCCTCCCTGGGCTGATAACCTCTGCGCGAAATGGCTCCGAGTTCCGGAGGCTGGCGACTTCATTACTTACGGCAGATGCGGCTTATGAAACGAAGCCTGGACAGCACACCCTGCTTGGGGACGCAGGGTGGCCGGGGGAAGACTTGTGCTTCCTGCTGGCCCGAGATAGCAGCTTTGACGGAGAACATTATGCGGGACAGGTCGACTCGAATTACGACGGGGACCCTCCAAGGAGAAGGTCCGTTGTGCCTAGGCTGCACCATGCTGTGGGATGTGAACAGAGAGTTTGGGCTTCCGACGGAAGCTGATTTCGCGGCCCGTGGGGCGGCCAGCGCAGGGAGAAGTTGTGAGCAAATGCAGCTCAGCGAGGCTCATTCCCGGATTGTGGGACACAGGGAATGTGGCTCCGAAAGTCAAATGCGAGATCGCTGCCGAGTTCTGTCGTCGCGGGGACAGGGGTTGCCCCCGGGTGTGTCGGCAGGAGAGCTGGGTGCTGACCCTTTACGCGAATTTCTGCTCCTTGCGGGCGGTGATGGCGGTGATGACGGATGGAGCGAGCCTAGCTGGGCTGGCCCAGCTGAATGTGGTCTCCACAGCAGAGCCAATATGGCCTCCATTTGGGAAGCCTCCTCGCACCAGTTGCGCCAGGACCATGTCTTCTATGACGAGCACTTCCCGGACGCTCCTGAGAATGCAGCAAGTGGCCAAACCTGTTCGCTGAGGGCCGTCCGCCTCAACGAGCCTGAGGGCGACCATATGAAGCCTGACCTCGTGACGAACGCAGATACCGAGGGACGATGTGAAACCCACGTTTGGACAGCAAGCATGTCTCCTTTGCGTTGTGGTGGGGGCAGCACCGGGCTGGAGGGTCTCATGGAAGGCATCATGCAACAACTGATGCCAATGACCACTCAGCTGATTCAACAGGCTATGGCTGAGGCGATGGGCAGAGGCCTTGGCAACGAGAGCGTGCAGAGCCCCACCAAGGGCGAGGCAAAAGGCGAGCCACGGGCCAAGCGGCAGCGAGGTGGGGACAAGTCCAACAAGCGGAAAACCCCGGATCCCGAGGGCCCCAGGCCCTCGTGGCAAGGGCAAGGGTGGCACGCCACAGGTGCCGAAGCGAGAAGTGAGCATCTCGGAGAACGAGGGCGGCTGGACCAAGGTGAGCCGCAAGGAGCCAGAGCGTTTTGAGCTCAGAGGCCAAGATTGGGATTGTCCGTTGGTTGCACATTCCAGCATCGGCGTAAAGTTAGACGAGCTGCAGGATGGTCAAACACTGGAGGCCGTCGTTCTCGCCCCCAAGCAGGACTTACAGAAGGTCTCGACGATCTTGCGTGGCACAAGCAAGCCTTATCGTGTCATGCTGGTGGAGTTGAATAAGGACGGCAAGCAGAGGGTTCCTGGACGACTGGGAAACACTTTGACGTTTCGCCAAGCCAATGTGGACACCCTTTTCTCATCGGGCAAGGAGGCACCCCGGTATGCTGGCACGAGGGCTACGGCTGTCAAAGTGGCACCCATCGACACAGTCGTGATCACCATCAGAGTTCCGGCCGATTTCTGTGCCGCCGATAAGTGGAAGACTTTCCGGGCGAACCCCACGAAGGCCATGGCAACCTGGGCGGCTGAGCAAAAGGTTGTGCTGATGGACAGCTGGGGCTGGTTGGAAGAAACCGCGCACAAGCAGAGCAGACAGCTCTTTGGAAAAGCCAGGCTGGCCACGAAGGAGCTCACGAGCCTCCTCGCGGCCAGTGGATGCAATGGGGTATTCCTAGACCCTCCGCGAAACAAGGTCCCGGCACAGGTGCAGTGGCTGGCACGTGGCCCCGAAGAAGCCGATGCTGCCTACCTCGAGCGTGGCCTCCGCATGGCTGCCCCTCTAGGCCTTGTTACCCAGGGCGGTCGGATCGGGGCTCGCAACACACGTGACCCCAACACGGCCGTGGCACGGATTTGGCATTTTCCGAACGTCCCAGGACACTGGGGCCCACGACTGTCTTCAGCCAGGCTTTCACGGAGGTGGTTTTGATCCACCACCGTGCAAAGGCCGAGAATTTCTCTACAGATTTCGAGGAACCCACCGATTCGGTGACAAGGACATTGTCCCGTTGCAGGTGGAGGTTGATGATGGCGATGGGTCGAGTGGTGAGATCACCATGTGGGTTTTCTGTGGCACCTGTCCGTGCCCAGGGCCAGAAACAGAAACCACTGCGATCAACCCCGGTGCCTCTTATCACGCCGAAGGATTCTCCCCTGGACAGCAAGCTGACCCGAGTCCAACAACCGGCGGTGCAGGATGACGCGGGCAAGGAAATTTCCCCTGGTCAGAGCAGGGCTCTCTCTCAGAGACAGATCCCCGACAAGTGCAAACTGGTCGAAGTGGAGAAGGACGGGGCGTGCCTTTATCACGCCGTCGCCAAAGGTCTTGTTTGGTTGGCTGGCAAAAAGCCCACACAACATTGCCACCGGGACCTCAGAGCTCGGGCGGTCGCACACATCAGGCGGCACGCCGATCAATACATCGGCGAGTGGGACGGCCTCGGCCCTGGGTTGGAGAAGCTCGCGACCGAGAATCCGGACCGCACTGCTGCTTTCAACCGTTACTTGGAGCTGGCGGAGAAGGAAAGCGCTTATGCGTCGGTTCTCGAAATAAAAGCTCTAAGCCGTTTGTATGATGTCTGCCTGTTAGTCATACCGCGAGACGGAAATTTCGCCACAATGACATTCAGGGAGTCCAAGCGGTCTCGGGCCATCGTCTTATGGTATACACCGAAGCACGTGGACCTCATCTCACCCCAAAAGGATGGCGAGCCTTACCCGGAGGCTTTATTCACACAAGCCCCCGGTCAGACCATCGACCTTCGCGCCGGTGGATGCAGTCAACAAAGTGTGGCCTCCTGCTGGACCAGGGCCTCGAATGCCCCTTCCGAGGATGCTCAGGCCTCGGTGTGGACACTTGCCTCGAACTGCAAAACTCAAGCATCGAAATCAAAGCCTGCCTCGCCGCACCGATTGGGCCGGAGCCGAGCTTCATTGTGTAACAGCACGAGCCGCAGAGCCAGTGCCAAATCGATTGAAACTGCCGGCCCCCAGAGGTCTGCAAGGTCTGTGGCCCCCCTTTCCGGAGGAGCCGCGGCTGGCTCCAGTAAGAAAAGAAGGTGCACTGAAATCTCTGAACCTCCTGCCCTCTCTGATACTGAGGTAGGGGAGCTGTGTGCCGGGCCCCCACAGGACACTGCCGAGCCGACTGCACGTCAAAGACGCCGTTCTTCTTCCCTCGCCCAGAAGGGTATCTGCAAGGGTGTCTTCCGGTGTGAGCTTTGCCCTTTTCGTAAGAAGCTTGATGAAGTTAGCAAGCTGCTTGATGTTCGCAAGAGGCACTTGAGAACCCACCATGGAGGTCAAGGCTTGAGAGCACGAACACCCCCTGTGGACCACTTTGTCAAGTGCAGTCGTGACGTTAAGGTTCGTTGGAAGTGCCCACTGTGCAATATGGGCATTAAACAGCAGACCGCGGCCAATCTCTGCTCCCATAGGATGGCTGACCTGCGCAGGTTCCACCGCGAAAACCACCATCCCCGGGTGACTCCGAAGGAGTGGATGCTCCTCCTGCAAAAGCAGGTCCGCGAGAGCATGATTGCCAAGCGCCGGGTCACCTCGCTTAACGCAGGGGCAGCCTCCATTGTGCGGACCCAGCTCCCAGCTCACCTTACGCCTGTCCTGATGCCGACGCCCATCAAGCTTCGGCCCGCGGATAATATGCCCAAGAGGAACCATGCCACTGTCATTCGCAAAGTCACTTTCCTCAACAGGCTCAAGTGCCACAGGTGTGGGCGATTTTGCAAGGCTTCCTTGCGAAGTCGCACCCCCCATGCTGACATGCAATGCCCGCCACCCCGTTCGGCAGGATACAAACGTGCACAGCTGAACACGTTGGAGAAGGTGCGCAGGTGGACCCTGCAAAATCCGGTTCCGGGATTCACCAAGGACCAGCTCAGGCCCATCTTTGAAGCTGCCCGCAAAGCGTTGGAGGAGGAGCCGTCTTTGCCGTCATCTTCTACCGAAGAGGTACCCTCAGCACAGGCACCTTCATCTCGATTCTGACGTGCAAACCTGGCCAAACGAGGCATCTCCAGTGTGGACGCCGTGCAGGCCATGATGGCCGATCACCAGGTGTCCATTGCATCCTTCCAGGAGGTGGACATCCACCGTCAAAGCGCCGTTGGCTTTGCGAACTTGTGGCGTCAGAAACATTTTCATGTTAGCCTCGGGGTCCCGGACTCTCGAGGCATGCACAGGGTCGCTCTTGCCTCGAAGCTTCCAATGAAGCCGGTTCAATTACAGTTGCAATCGGACACGGCTCGATCGGCCGCCGGCGTGGTGGCATGGCCCATGCAGCAGGCTATCGCTCACGTGCTCGTGGTATGTTTCTACGAATATCCCTCTGACCTGGCCCGAACCTCTGAAGCTTATGAAGCCCTGATGGAGGCCATTGCTGTGTACGGAGGCCTTTTCGTGGTGCTCGGGGATTTCAATTGCACCCAGCAGGAAGGTGCCCTTTCCACTTCCTTGATGTGTGGTGCTGTCCGTCCGGCTGATGATTCCTGCGACGGGCCACCCATGGCGACGAACCCTGTGGGCACACGGCGCATCGACTTCGCGGTCATGCACCCTGACCTGGTTGCACGAAGGGAGCACACTTTTCGCCTCGCCTCGATTTCGGACCATGGCATTGTTCGCTATGACTTTGACACTGGGTGCCATAAATCATCGTGGCGTAGGCCCTGCTTTGATGTACCACAGGTCTCCACTGCGACTGAGGAATCGGACAACTGTCCTCCCCCTCTTGATGTCACCGCCCTGTTGGCGGCCGGCCGCGTTGACGAGGCCTGGGCTCGTATCTCTGACTGGGCCGAGGCCTTTCTCAAGATTACTGACCCGGCTCAACCTCGAAGCCGCGCTTGGCATCCCAGGCCCCGCCTCGCCTCGCACGACAAGCCGGGCTCTTCCGGTCATGAACCTCCTGCGTTGGGGGCCCTGCGAAAGCTCTCGTATCGGCTCGCCCAGCTCCAGCACCGACCGTGGGATAGGTGCCTGTTCAATCGCACGGCTGGCTCCTTGCGTCGCACCCGGCATTTGGCCCCGGACCTTCCTCACCTTGACTTGGAGAACCCGGAGCTGGCCGCCGCCATGCTACAACCGGTACTTACGGCACATCACGATGCACATCGCCGGCGGTGTTTGGAGCGATGGCGCCAAAAGGTCACCACCTCCGTGGAGGATGCAGTGACATGGGTGAAACACAGAGCTGAGCAGGAGTGTCGGCTCCAGTCAAATTCCGCCCTTGAGGAAGCGGAGGCTTATGCTGTACACCCCGTGGACAGAGTTGAGCAGCAGGGCGAAATCTGGACCCGTAAGTGGCAGCTTGCCGACACTCCGCCCGATGTTGAGGATTTTCAACGCATCTTGCAGGAGCTTCTCCGACACACCCAGTCCGATGTTGATTTGACTCCGAGCCCTGAGGAGCTTCGGCGGGCAATGGCAAAGATGAAAAAGAAGGCACCCGGCCCCGACAATTGGACCGGAGCTCTGTTACTGCGAATGCCGCCCAATTGGTGGCGGGCTTTCTCAGCACTATGGCGCACCATATTGCAGCAAGGCCGGGTTCCGGCCATCTGGCAGCGATCGTTAGTGGTGCTGCTGGACAAGGGCCCTAGCTCTACGAGGCCAATCGCTCTTCTTAGCATCGCGTGGAGGGCCGGGGCTCAGGCCATCTCGAGGCGCCTTAAGGGATGGATTTACCAGTGGTGTAGCCCTCGGGCTTGCGGCTCGGCGCCAGGCCGCAGCACTGCAGACATGCACCAGCGTATCCTCCGTGCTTGGCGCAAGGGGGTACGATCCTACGTTCAACAGGATCTTACCTCCTTTTTCGATAGCCTTTCCATGCCCATTGTGACCACCGCCCTCAAGCATCTTGGGGCCCCACACTCCTTGATAAGGTTGGTTAGTGGGTTTTATGCGAGCCAGTTCCGGCTGTTTGTCGTGCAGTCATGCACGTCAGCAAGATGGCAACGTGCACACACGGGTTTGCTTCAGGGATGCCCCCTGTCCCCGACTTTAAGCCTGTGCATTGGTTACTTATGGTCTGCGTTCGTTGCCTCACCCCAGGTCGAGGCAGGCATCTATGTTGACGACAGGATCATGTGGGTGTCACAACTTTCACAGGATGCGACGACCGCGGCCCGTGAGGCCATTCACCGGAGTGACAGGTTTGACCAGGCCGCCGGCCTCACGTGCAGCCGGCGCAAGTGCCACCTGGTTACGGACACGCATGAATGCCCATGGCGGCTCCGCGCCACTGCTCGGGGGTATGAAGTTGTCTCATCACTCAAGTTCCTCGGGATTGAGCTGGACCTCACAACCGGCTGCACTTCCCCTCTTAAGCTGTGCCTTGAAAAGCTCCAGATCCAGCTTCGGTATGCTGGAAACCCTGCTTTCAGCCTGGCCGTGCGAACCAAGGTGATTCGATCGCTGGTCTATCCCGCCCTTTTTTGGGCGGCTGGCGTGGCCCAGCCCACCGCCGAGGCACTCAACGACATCCGCATGAAGATTGTTGCCTCTTTGTCCGGGGCGCTTACCCAAGAGGCTCCCAGAATTCTGGTTGGACAGGTGCTAGGCTGGACACTTGACGTGCACTGTATGGCCGACTGGAGTGCCCTGGCATACTTGCTCAGGACCCTCACGTCTCCACAGGAGTGGTTGGAGGACATCGCCATTGCTGAGCTCAACGAGCCACGAACCTCGGATTTCCCTGCTGCGGCTCATGCCTTACAATGCCTCCACTGGCAACTGGAACCTGGTAATCGGTGCATCACTCGCACCGATGACGAGCACCGTCGTCGTGTTTTCAGGATCGGTGTGGATTCCCCATCGGTCCTCAAACAGTGGCTCATCGAGGAGTACAAGCTGACTACGACAACGAGTTGTGGCAGAGTGCTCCACAAGCTGCACCGCAGCACCCCGGGGTTGGCCGTGGGCTTGGACCTTCCGAAACCGGGCTCTCGCGTCAGGTTTGCTTTTGAGGGCCACCGCAAGGCGTACACGCAGGCCCGCGATGCGGCACAGCAACGCGCAGCATTGGCCACTGGTGGTACTGGGTGGCATTACCGGGCAAAGCTCCGTGGTGAAGGAGTTGCGACTTGCATGTGTGGACAGACTTGGCCATCCAGGGCTCACTTGGTCTGGACTTGTCCCACTTTGGCACATGATCGTGGACACCTCGTCCAGCCGATGAACCGTGCTGAAGAACGTCTTTTTGGCCGATCGATTGCCGAGTACCCTCCGGCTCCCAGTGCCCACACGGCTTCTCCGCAGCCGGCCCTGGCGGCTTTCTTTGCGGCAGCGGCTCAGGACGCGATCCTGGACATCGATATGGCAACGGATGGCTCGTCCCAGAACGGCGTCGGCGCATACGCCATCGTGTGTGAGATTCCGGAAGTCACCATTTCTGCAGCGGACGATGCTGAGGACCAGGCTGCTTTCCGAATGGAGCTCCAGGCGGTGTGCGAGGTGCTCGTGGCTCTGGCCACGACAGACACTTTTTCGAGGACCCTTCGCCTTCTTGTTGACTGTGATGCTGTGGGTAAGGCGATCCGACGCCCGGCGACCTGCAAACTTCGAACCTTGGCCGAAAGGGCGCGGCAGGCCGGACATGTGGCCCGCGGTCGTGGCACGTCTTGGCGGATCATCTGGGTCCCGAGCCACGGCAAGCAGAGGGAGTGGGCCCCTGAAGCTCCACTGACGTCTGATTTCTGTCGCCGACTGAACCAGTCTGCAGATGATGCGGCCAACCAGCTCCGACGCCGGCGGCTTGCGGGCTCCGAAAGGGCGATATGGGCTGATGCTTTGCAGACGGCAACCACTGAGGAATGTGACGCCGTGCTTTTTGCCGCTTCGGCGGCCAGGCGCCTCGAAGCGCACTTGTGTACAGCTTACTCCGAGTCTCGGCCTCGGCTGATCGACGACGATGTATAGGCAGTCGACCACAGCCCTTGGCATCACGTGATGACCGGCGTGGGACCGGTTCGCTGGCCCTCGTCTGACAGTACCCTCAAATCAAAAAGTGGAGTCTCAAAACGCATGTTGTTGACGGCGCAAAAGGCTGGTGAAGGCTTGCTTGGTGAGCGCTGCTCTTCGGAGTGGACGTTGGAGGCCTTCTCTGACTCAGATTGGGCATCGCAGAAGGGTGATCGCAAGAGTGTTTCGTCCGGCATGATAGCAATCCAAGATAACGTCGTGTGCACTTCAGCCAGAACACAACGCACTATAGCCCTCAGCTCTGCAGAGGCTGAGCTGTATGCCAGTGCAGGCGTCCTCTCCGATAGTTTCCTCCTGAAGAACATCTTGTGTTTTCTGCTTGACCTTGAGAAGTTGTCCGTGCACTTGTACATGGATTCATCAAGTGGCAAACAAGTGTGGCAGCGATCGGGCGTGGGGAGAATCAGACATCTCTCCTGTCGTGTGTTGTGGGTTCAGCAGGCTGTGGCTCGTGGAGATGTGGTGTTGCACCACATTCGTGAGGAGTACAATCCGTGTGACGTGAACACAAAGCTTCTCACGAGGGTTCGCATGTTGTTCTTGATGTTCCTTTTGAAGGTCTATGACACGTGGAAGCATGAAAGGGTTGGTGAGGAGGAGCACGCAGCACACATGGAAAAGAAAGCCATCCAGCTTATGATCCGCAATTTGAAGCGCCTTGAGCATAAATCCAGGGTGTCCAAGCAAATGATCAGAAGCATTCTGTTAAGCTCAGCGGTGCAGTACAGCATGGCAGTGGATTTCAAGGACGATGACGCGTTGAGCACCGTATGCTTTGCAGTGACAGCTTCAGGACTTTTCCAGTCGAATGTGTCGTGGATGATGGTTTTCACTTGTGTGATTGTGCTGTGTAGCTTTATGTGGTGGTGCATTGGCAAGCGCAACTACAAGGTGACGAAATTTCGCATTGATGTTGGAGTTCAAGCTAAAGCTCGCGATGATCATGATGAGTATCGCTTTTATGCCGAAGCAATCATGCGACAGCAAAAGAATGAGCTTGATGAGATGAAGGAGTGGAACAGGCAGCTACGTGATGAGTGTCGTGGTGTTACGGATTGGAATGAGAGGCTTCGCAACGAAGCTCAACAGCATCGTGTACCAGATGGTGATGTTTTCATCTCCATGCGTGGTCGTTCGTATCATAGCAGCGCGCAGTGTGGACATGTACGCGGACACAAGACAACAATGTATTCAAAGTGCCGTGATTGCGCTATGCGAGATGGCAACTGAATGCTATGTGTGACCCATTCGCGGCTATCAAGCTTTACGATCGTCAGGGTGTGTATGCATGGATATACGGCCCATTTACGGCGGTCAAGCTTTACGGCTGCCAGGGGTTTGTGAGAAGAGTGGTACGTTTGAACGCTCGTTTGCGCTGATGCAAGTTTTACGCACAGCAGGGCTTTGTGAGAGCAGTGAACCGTAGAGTAGTTTTTGCATGCGTCGCATTGTGCATTTTGCCTTTGCAACCAGGTACATGTGAATATGTGCATAGTTGTGCCAACCTGGTTAATTCGATCTTGCGAATTTGTGTCAAGTACCTTTGCGTCCTTTTGCAGTTGCTTTGTCAACTCCGAGTCCAACTCTTTGATTCCATATGCAGCCAGCTAGAGCTACATGTGGGGTTCCTGTATGCAGCTTTGGCAAAGTGCCATTGCCAGTTTGAGTGTATGCCGTAGGCATAACTCAAGGCGGGGTGATAAACCTTTACGCCTCTGTAATGTGACGAGTTTTGCCCAAAGTTTTTCCTGCTTTACTGTACAGTTGTTTGACTTGAGCTACGACTCTGCAGGCGCTTTGTGGTTCTACAAAAGTTTTCAGCCTGCCATAAAGGTGATAATAAAGAGCTACGATGCACTAGTTCCCCTGCCTGAACTTGGCAATTCATGTTTAATCCGGCGCCTGTCAGGAGTTGGGCAGTCTTTGCACAGCTCGCATCTCGACGCGGTCTATGCGTCCAACCACGC